ATAAGTTCATAGCTATTCTATACGTTCACGGTTCCTTTATACGTTCACTATTCCTCTATGTGTTCATTGTTGTTCCATACGTTTACGGTTCTTCTATATATGTTCACGGTTTCTCTATACGTCCACTGTTCCTCTATATGTTCACGGTTTCTCTATACGTTCACTGTTCCTCTATTTGTTCACGGTTTCTCTATACGTTTACTGTTCCTCTATTTGTTCACGGTTCCTCTATATGTTCACGGTTCCTCTATATGTTCCGGGTTCCCCGTCATTGTTGGCCTTCACAGCTCGACGTTAGGTGATTAGCAGCCAGATCTACGACAGTCACCTGAGTAAGGTCGCCATAGCTACGCAGCACCTCTTCGTACGACGGAAGCGACTCGAAGCTGTCGTCACTTTCATGGTCGCATGCGTCAGCGTCCGTCTTGATGGATGATGAACGCATCACGTGCGACTCGTCCGTCGCTAAAAACGAAAATTAAAAAAAAGAGGCTAAATACTTACGGTTTCGTGTAAAGATAGTAAATAAAGCGTCGCGAGCATATCTGCGAATGTCGAACATGTTTTCTGCTCGTGCGGTTAAAATCAAGCCAACTCGGTAGTATTAATCAGCTATATTATAGTTTTATCTACGCGCGAAAGTGCATGCGCGTTGTCTTTGAAAGCTTCGAGTTTATGTATATAATGTTCAATGATTTCCATTGCTGATGACGTCAAAGAAATAGTTGGCCGCGGATTGGAATCGAAATACATCTCTCACCCATCGTATATAGCCGCCCACATTTACAGACCACCTCCTTCGACATTTATACTTACCTTCTTCATTATATAACACCTCCTCCATTATATGTTACCTCAATCGACTTTTTATATTGTTATTATATTATAAAATCCAATATTATTTTTTACGTCATACATACTATACGTATTTCGCTTTCGGCTTCACACTTACGGCGAGCCTTTACTAATTTACTAGTTACTTTACTACTTTACTACTTACTTTACTACTTTACTACTTCACTACTTACTTTACTTCTTACCGCTTTACTACATTATTTACTACTTTACTACTTTACTACTTTCATACATATTACCAGGAGTGAATAATAATGAGATCTGTTATTATTCAATCCTGATATTACCAAGAACTAATAACACATTTTTGAAGTCATACTTCTTATGAGTCCCTATTTTCAACTCCTGTTCTTATTATATCTTGACATTCATAATCTAATATAAAGCTCGTGATATCACTCTCCCGTCGGGGCATGGTGAATATTATACTCACCATGCCCCGACGGGAGAGTGGATGTGCACCAAAACAAACGCTGGAGAAAGTAATATCACGAGCTTTATATTAGATTATTAATGTCAAGATATAATAAGAACAGGAGTTAATATTATACTATAATACCATGCATTCCTAAACAGATATCTAATCACTCGCATGACAGTAGTATATATCCGGTCTCTGTTAGTCCGCCACTATATTGCATCGTCACGCATGTGCGTCATAGTGTGCGTCATACAGTTATTCATGGCATACATTACTTCTATTCTATTGTTCGTATGAAATCGTATCAGTGTGTAGTATAGTCATAGAAATAATATAGATAGACTATATCATTTATCTATATCGACTATATATATATATATATATATATAGACTATATATATAGACTATATATAGACTATATCGTTATCTATATTATTTCTATGGTAGTAGTAGTGGTTTGTATTAGCTACATTTACATAAAATGTGGTTTAGACCAAAGCTTATTGTAGTGCAATAGATTATTAAAAACGTAAATATAAAAGTGTGCGATTGCGTCATTTTGATTTGATAGGCCTACATGACCTAATGTAAGCGTTTTACAATCTCCACAACTGCGTCCTGCTTTCGCTAAAACTTCCTCGTTATTATTTCTCACTCATCATCACACCTACTATAACTATATAACTATAATTATATATAACTTGCAAGCAGAATACCATGTTCATCCTCCTACATGATGACACACGTAGCCCATGCTTGAGAGTTCGCTGCGAGTGCGTGACAGCCTGGTAAACACGGTTAGAAATACACGCGCTATTACAGATTTTTTCCCCTACAAACATATTCGATGCGAAGTTGCGAACCAGCAACAAATAAAAGCAAATTGGTTTTTATTTAATTCTGCAACAAGTCACGCCCTTCGTTACCATATACGGACAATACCCGTGGCAACCGATTCTGCAAGCAGCTATGGCGAATACAAGATAAACGACCCATGTACGTCTTAAATAGCCAGACGTACACGCTTGTCTCTGTCATAGGTGCTTGCAGAACAAGCTGTCCGCGGGCTTCACACATATATCGGTGACGTCTACTAAGACGACACACCATAGACATCACGCAATACGATATATCTATGTAATATCTAATATCTATGCACGTATTATATGATATCTATGCGACACACTTACCGCACTGTGAATACCGTGGCGGCGGCTCGACGACGTCGAAGACAAGGGTCTGATTGCAGTGGAGGGGCACGTTGCTGCCGGTCACCGTGACCGCCGTGACGTATGTGTCCTTCTTGCAGACACCGCACGCACAGCTGAGCGCTAACAGACCGGCACAGCCGAGCGATATGACGACGTACATCGCCGACGTGTTGCTGTCCTGGATGCAGTAGATCAGCACGAACAGCCCGACGTAGAATATCACGACAACGACGGTTAACATTTTGGACAAGCCGCGACCGTTGTCGTTCTTCCTGCACGATAGGCTACACTCGGCGTCAAACTCGTTCAGCGTGTCCGGCTCGCCATCTCCCACTGGCATGGGACTCTCGGGATCGGTCGCATGCGACATGACGGCGAATAAACCGAATAGATACAACACTAGGATGGAATTTGAAAAAGAGATGGAAATAGGCCTACTGTTGTCTCGGCAGATATCAAACGTAGGCGGAATCCAGGGAAGACGCGCTCTCTCGTAATACTAGCAACCACGCATGCAGCTTCATGTAGTCGTATATCATGCTATGCGTGTGTATATGTGCGCGTGTGCGCCCTCCCGATAGGCTGCTATCATTACACTGTATCTAACCGAAATGAACGTAATATTTACGGACACGTACTATATATTATATAACGTGCGTGGTCAGAAGGTGGCGGCAGCAGCAGCGATAGTGAACACTCATATGAACAAATGTTACGCACTCACAAACTACGCGCACCGTATCTAACGCTTATATAACCCTTGGACCGGATAAATTAGACATTCAATTTTTTTTAACACGCGCAGAGTTCAAATAATGGTTATGCGCTATAGAAAAAAATTGGGACAGTGGCGAATGCAAACTAAACATGACATCATTGAATAAATCGACCCCCTCTGTGCAATATATTTGTCTCATAATAACTACCAATATTTTGGTGTAAATCGCGTGCCATTATATCTTGGTCAGCACTCAACTCCCAATATCTCGCACCACACCCACTCCGAGCTCTTATCTTTCAGTGCGGTCTGCCTTCTACCTAACCCCACTACAAATGCACTGGTCCACGTACCTACAGGAATCTTTACCGGCAAGGTTTTAAGCAACCTAAATGACTTGAGAAGGACATTTCCTTTATTAGTAAGGCTGATTAAGAAATATATATATATATTCTTGTGGAAATAAAATAATCTAAGCAAAGAACGCTAACCTAGCTATCGGAAAATAGAGTAGATTACACTCCAATCACCTGTGATGTTTCATTTCAATAATACGAATGTTGATCGAATTTTTTGTTAATTTAGTTTGTTGATTTTCGTGGAACACATTTATACTTGAAGAGAATTAAAGTATAGGAAGAATTGGAGAAGATTAGGGTGTGATAATAACAAAGGTGTAAAATATTCTCTAGATGAAAGGAAGTAAAAATGAATTTTAATTTGATTTGAAATTCACCCTTCTCCTATTATAACATCAACGTAGTATCATAATTCTTTCTGATACAGTTAGGTGCAGAATTCACCACACTACAGCAGAACTGCCTTTTCAGTCTATCCTTAAATAAATCTAGCACTGAGAAAAACATTTTTATTAGAATGGGTGAGAAATTTCACTCAGATTTACTCATCAACATTTATGCATATAAATTTTATACTTTACTTGGCGCATAAAAAAATAATCACTTGGTTCCAATAACTACTTCATAGTAGTACCTCCCCAAGACTGTTGTTGAGATGTTATAAAAGACGCAATTTTATACCATAGATTAGCTCACAGGACATACATTTAATAAGTTCATTGTGAGGTTATGTCGGGGTTACGAACGTTTAAACAGCTGCAAACGCCAACTGTTTTGGGTCACTAAGGTGTGAGCAAACATGATAAGAGTTGCAGATCAAACAGATCGTTTGACCATGCTTGCCAAAAAACACCTATAACCTAGTATTAGGATCAGACGCGTGCTCAGAAATAAAATGAAATCCGACGAGTGAAACTGACGTCTTCAGACTCTGAAAAGTCTTACTGGAGTATGAAAACATATCAACTACGATTACCGTCGCTCTAATCTCTAAACAACGTAAATATATACATGGTTCATACAGGACTGAAAATTCTTCTACTTTTCAACGAAATTTTATCAGAAATTCAAGGACAATTTATCGGACATTTTATCGGAATTCATACACAGAACAAAACATACCTGGATTAATTTAATAACCCCATTCTTAATCACTGTCACCTCTAAAACTTACCTGGATCACATTAATAAACCCTTCTAAACACTGTCACTTCTACAACATACCTTGATTTACTGACTTACTGTAATTATTTGTAATCATCATTTAACTGTCTATCGTGTCTATAGCTTTTTAAGCTCATTTAACCCAATTTTTATTGAGGTTTGCACATTATTGATGGTACAAAATTTATTTTTATTACAGGCAAGGATTCTTTCTAAAAATTCAAGGACATTTTCATGAAATTCAATGACTTTTCAAGCACAAAATCAACATTTACTAAATTCAAGTACTTTCCAAGGACTCCCCTCAAATTCAAAGACTTTTCAAGGACTGTGCGAACCATGTATATAGCTGACGAGAAATATGACAAATAGGTCGAAGCAGAGAGCGAAATCAGCAGGCATCAGCTGCGCGCTCGACCAGCACGCCTCTGCTACCTCGAGGCTATTGTCCATCAGTCTCCGAGAAGCCTCAACGCTAGCTCCTCATCCATTTCCAGCGGAAGTCCCGTATCCATGACCTCCCGCTCTTCCTCGCTGCCACTCTCCGACTCGCTCTTCTTCCGCCGTTTACGCGCGCGTCGCGCCTGCTCGCCCGCCTCGCTGGCTTCCTCCTCCGACTCCGAGGAATCGTCGTTTCTCCTTGCTCGTACCCTGTCGGGATCGGGAAGCCAGGATAAGTCCGGGCCGTCGTCGTCCGACCCGCTCACGTCCAACATGGCCGCCGCGCCGCCGTCGTCCCGATTCTTCCTGTCGCGTCCGGCCCGCTCCTTCATGCGCTTCTCCCGGTGCTTCTCCTTGACTTTCTGCCGGAACGTCTGCCGGTCGATGCGGTCTTCCTCCTGCATCCGCTGCCTCGCAACCTCGATGTCGATTCCGCCCTCGTCATCGTCGGCAGCAATGTCAACAGCAGCGGCGACCGGCTTCTGGAGCGTGTCGCGTGCGACGCCGTCGTCGTCGAACGTGATCTTCGAGTTGACGTGGATCTTCTTCTTCTGCACCTTTCGCGCGAACGCGGCCTTCGTCACGATGCGCTCTCTCCTGTGTCGCGCGCCCTCCTCCTCCTCTTCCTCCCCGCCGCCGCGCGACACGTCGAGCCAGCTCTTCACCGTAAGCAGTTCGTCGCCGTCGCTGTCGGAGTCCGCGGCGGCGAGCGACGCCGGCTTCCGGAATCGGCTCGCCGCCGCCGCTGCTCCTGGCTTCGGCTTTCCTAGGCGATTAGATTCCCCGCCACTGCTGGAATCGCTCTCCTCGGAAGCGAACGCCGCCGCGCCGCCGCCGACTCTCTGCTGCTGCTGCTGCTGCTGCTGCTGCTTCTCGTACTTGCGCAGGAAGCGTATGCGCGGCGTGACGGCGAGGCCGAGCGAGTTTGCGTACGCGTCCGTGTCGAGCGCGCCGACGACGAACACTGCCTTGTCCTTCATCAGGAAGACGGACTTGAGGTAGGAGACGAAGCAGCGCTTTGCACTCTCCTTCAGATCGACGTCCTGCGCGCACAGGCTCTCCAATTTCTTCTGCAGGTCGAGCTGCCTCTTTGGGTTCACTTTGATTTTGTTGATGGGTATCTTCTTCTGTCGCAGCTGCTCGATCATGGTTTCCTCCTCGGACGGCATGAGAACCAAGAGCGACTCGCCATCCTTTTCAAACCTGCAATAAAAGTGAGGCTCATATTAAGGTGAGCATTTTTATAAAAATGTCATTTCGGGAAAAATACTATGTGGACCGTACAGTTTTTAGGTGCTTCACATAAAATTTGACAAGCCGTGGCAGATGTCGTTACTCTACTTATAGTCATAGATGTAGTAATATAATTTTAAATTTTGATGAGACTAACACCATTTATTAATATTAGGAGATTCGGGCTGAAAATTTCAAGAGATATTTTATCCAGAAAAGTGCACCTGTAGGGGCAATGACCTGTTTAGATGTGGGTTCTAAAAATGCCAGGTTCAGCCCTATAATCTCACGCTACGCTCAGGTTTTTATTTATGACCCACTGTGCCCTGCTTGTGTACATAAACGTCCAGCCTGCTAATATTTCACACATTTGTGTAAACAGAATTGAGGTACAAGCAATTTGGTGGCCAAAAAATGACCTATAACATAACAAAACATAGGATTTTTTGACACAAATAGTAGCTATAGGCCATCTATATGCCTACATGCCAATCGCAACACTAGGAGTACATCACATAGAAGTTTAAAACATACTGCAATCACATTAGTTTTTCCTGCCAAAATGTTGCACACAACATTCGTAAGCACATACCCCGATCAAGTTAGGGGGCCTCTACTACATCTCAAAACAAGACTAACTCTCTACGCAACACTGGAAACGAAACAAAGACGGGGGAGATGACCGTGGCAGGCATGCCTCACCTCGCGGTCCGGCCAGCCCGGTGTATGTATGTGTTCGCGTCCTCGGGGCAGTCGAGCTGCACGACCCAGTCGACAGCGGGGAAGTCGAGGCCGCGTGCAGCGACGTCGGTCGCGAACAGCACGGCGTGCTGCTTGCGGCAGAACTCGTCGTAGACGGCCATACGTCGCAGCTGGTGCAGCGTGCCGTACAGCGCCAGCACGGACACGCCCGGCCGCAGCCGACAGAACGTCTCGTACATGTACTTCACCTGCCGAGGGAAACGGTCGGTCGCAGTTTGTACGCGTACGGCAGACAACTGACAATGATCATTCGCGGTCGCGTGATCGCTGTTGAGTGTAGAGGCCCCAGTCACGCCCAGTTTTATGACGATAAATGGGCGATCATTCGCGATTGCGCAATCAGTGTTTGAAATAGCGGCATATAGCCCAGTCCGGCTGATAACTCTTCAGCAGGACTGGCTAATTTTTATGGAATTTACAATGGGTTATGTAGTAGAGATTCAAGATCTTCAATATCGACAATCAAGATTTTCGATATCAGGACTGGCTTTCAGACTTATTTCCAAGACTAATGTAATACACATATAGTAATATACGATCAGTTGGAAGCGTAATCGAATATAAGCAGTTATAAATGTTGATTGTCAATACTAGATATTAGGTATCAGACGAGACAATCGATCATTCGCAGAAACCGCTGAACGCTCAAACGCTTGCGCACCTGCTTGCAGCTTGTCATGAAGACTAACGACTTGCGCTTCAGGTGCGACCGCACGAACGAGTAGAGCAGGTTGAACTTGTCGCGCAGCGTGCAGACGACGTAGCTCTGTGCGAGCGTCGCCGGCGTGCTGTACGCGGCGTGCTCGTGCGCCGACACGTAGATGGGCCGCGCGAGGCTGAGCCGCGCGAGCGCCGCCACCGACTTGGTCTGCGTCGCGCTGTAGAGCAGCGTCTGCCGCTCGGCGGGCAGGTTCGCGACGATCGCGTTCATCGTCTGCTGGAAGCCGAGGTCGAGGATTCTGTCGGCCTCATCCAGTACGAGCATCTGCGGAGGCGGCGAGCGCAAATACACGGGAGCCGCGTTACACTCGGTTTACCGAGGCACGTGCAAACTACAATTATGTGACTAATAATATAGATAATAATAATAATAACGTTGATGATGATAATGGTAATAATAATAATAATAATAATGGTAATGATGATAATGACGATAATAATAATAATAATAATAATAAAATCTTACACCTTAAAAGCTTGTCACCTTACACAGCATCGCTAGATTTACTTGTTATGTACATTACGCTGTTTATGAATATTTGCCTTTTAAAAATTCAAGTATGATACTATTTGTTTCCATGATGAAATAGTTTATATTTATATATATATATGTACATATATGCGTTTTATGATTTACCTGTAAAGAACTGCAATCAAACAGGTGATTTTCATCCATGTGCTGTAACAATCTTCCAGGTGTACAAATCATAATGTTGCACCTCTGAATCCTTTTCATCTCAAACTTTAGGTCTTTGCCACCTTAGTGAAAGAACAGAAGTACAAGAACTAATCATTTGTTACAGATTGATTTACAGATGTTTATTATATAACTTCAAACAGCTTATCATTATAAAACAAATGAACTAATGAATATTTTATGTAATTTTTTTACAAAAGTATCTATAGCTAGTTGCAGTTTTGCTTAAACCCACTAAACTAATACGTTAATATAAAGGATTAAAATAATAATTCATTACCTATGACTAATCCAGCAGAGAAATCATGCTTACTCCCAACCTTACGCAAAACTTCAAATATCTGGTATGCCAGTTCTCGGGTTGGTGTGATAATCAGAGCGCCAATTCCCCATAAGGAAGACCATTTCTGTCTAAATAATTAAAAATTACGACCAGTTAGTTGAAAAACAACTACATTTCTTGTCAACACCTACCTATATATATATATATATATTAGTATTATTACCTAAATGTTTTGGTTTACAGCATCATACACATGATTTGTCAGTAGGAGTCAATTTAGCCACCATTATGTTCCACAGGTGGTCATGTAAGATTAGCTCCAATTGAGGAACAAGTCGGAGAAAGATACAACATGTAAAGATACCAACTACTTTTTAAGTTTCTCTTTAAACACATGAAATATGTACTTACTTTGGCTAAACTGAATAAGCACTAGCAACTATGTATTCTATCAAGTCATGTATATATATGCCAGTTTTTATATATCACATTTAGTATAGACTGGGCAAATAATTTTGGAAATCTTAATTTTTGTGATGTATTCTTAAACTAAAAGTTATAAAACTAAAATTAATACTTCTCATTGCTGCACTGAACGCTCAAGACAAAACTCTTTGTACACTTTTAACACATCTTTAATATTAAAATGGAAGTCTATAGGACTTACTTGTAAAGATTTTCTAAGATCGGCACCAAGAAAGCTATCGTCTTCCCACTGCCTGTTTTGGCAGCACCTAAAATGTCATGTCCTTGCAAAGCCAGACCAATCGATGCCCTTTGGATCTCTGTAGGATTTACATAGTTGGATTCCATGAGTCCTTTCTGTGTTTTCCATGACAATGGCAGATCCTAAACATTCACATAAATTTCAATATGTAACTTTACAAAATGAATGATGGGCAATGTAAAATCTCTCAACTGTTAAACTGCATGACCACTACACCCTCCTGGGGTTTCTTATCATTAGATGTTGTGTAAAAAATGGGTTCATTTATAAAAAGTTTACATTTGCCTGATCATTACATCATTATTAACCATTTTTCAGTACCCAACAGTAAACTGTGTTTATAATGAAACGATCATGCTATTGTAAAAAAAATGGTATATGGGCTAACATTGTATAAATTCATACCATATTTAACTAGAAAGGGCAGTTGTCGCCAACTACATGTATCCCCCGTGTTCTCCCCAAGATGTGTAAGTATACGAAGTTTGGTTGCACTATGTCAATTAGAGGCAGAGTTATAGAGCAGAAAGAAAATATAATGAAGGTCAAGGTCAATGTCAAATAAAGGTTGCAGTGACCTGGTTTCGGTATGCGACACACCTTCTCCCCAAGATGTGTAAGTATACCAAGTTTGGTCGCGCTAGGTCAATTAGGAGCCGAGTTATAGAGTGGAAGAAAAATATGATCAAGGTCAAATTCAAGGTCAATTAAAAGCCGCAGTGACCTGGTTTTGGTACGCGACACACATTCTCCCCAAGATGTGTAAGTATACCAAGTTTGGTAGCGCTAGGTCAATTAGGGGTCCGAGTTATAGAGCAGAAAGAAAATATGATCAAGGTCAAGGTAAAGGTCAAATAAAGGTCGCAGTAACCTGGTTTTGGTACGCTGCTCACCTTCTCCCCAAGATGTGTAAGTATACCAAGTTTGGTAGCGCTAGGTCAATTAGGGGTAGAGTTATAGAGCGGAAAGGAAATTCTCTGCGGCGGACGGCGCGGGAGACATGAAACCATAGTATCCCCGCCGACTTCGTCGCGGGAAATACAATAACATTAATTACTCAAAATGGGTGTTGTTTCATGTGATCACTAAGGAAAGTTGGTTAACATGGTGTAAATTAATATAATACTTAATGATAGTGATTAATGAACCCTACTGTTGCATCAGGTAATCACTTGAAAAGTTATATGTGGATAAAGATCTAGTTATATGTGGTAATCACCTAAGTGCTACATTTTTAGGATGAAATTATTGCTAAACTAAACATGTCATGTCTGAGTATTAAGCTGGTAAGTGAACCTATTAAAATAATACTAAAATTGCTAGAGAGCATGACACGACTGTGAACCAGAAAGAGGATACACGGTTCTCTCTCCCCTCTCTCTTTCTTTCAGTCTGTTTCGCTTACTGCCTCTTCCTCTCTTTCTGACATACACACACGTACGCACGCACGCACACACACACACACTACATCTCACTTTCCCCTTTTCCAACACTACCTTCTTTCTCTTAACAAAATGCATTTTGCTGTTAACTAGTAGGGCTTGTCCCTTTCTTGCTTGTAATATAATAATGTACAACCACAAGAGTTGCTTATGATTTTTAAATGTCTGTATCCAAATGTACGTCATGCTAGACTTTAGGACTTCGATTTTAAATGGTGTACTTAGCACAGTAGTTTGATTGGTGTTAAGAATTTGATTAAGCATATTATGGTGTGGGTAAGTAGTAAGGCTAACGGTTAGTTAGCAGTAGTTAACGGTAGCAGCCAATTATTAGAGCCCGTAGGGTCTATGTCTCCCTGGGTACTGCCGGAACGTACCCTGGGTACGATCCGGTATACCGGAACGTACCCTGGTACTATCTAATATGCCGGACCGTACCTCGCCTACTCCACTAACGAGTCGCCTACGCCTACTCCCTAACCCTAAGTTACCATATCAGATAGTTACAAGGGTACATTCCGCTATACCGGACCGTACCCAGGGTACGTTCCGGCAGTACCCGTACCCAGGGAGACATAGACCTTATCTGCATTATTAGAGGGTTGACCGTTGGGTGATTAATGACGGTGAAGGGGTCGTTGTCGCATAGGGTAATATAAATTATAATGCTAGTCTAGAGAGTCGCCTACACCTACTCCCTAACCCTAACCATATCAGATAGGTACATATATGTAGTAGTACTATATAGTAGTACTAGTAGTACCCAGCGGTATCCCGATATCCGCGGGATAGTAGATTCTTGTGTTGGATACCAGATTTCGATGCCGGGATAGTAAAAAAAAAATCGTCAAAATCGAGATAGTGGTTGTTGAGTTATCAACTTTATACGGCAGCGCATCTGAGCGAGTGCGGGTAGAGCAAGTGCGCGCGATCCGAGCGGGCTCATGCACCCTTATTACTATGCCACACTAGCGTTACTACGTTATACATGCAGCAAGCATAGCATATTTGTAAGCGCAAGCGTGGCCGATGTTGATCATAAATGTGATGTGTATACATTGTATCAAGCGAACCAGACAATGCGTCCTTAATTACAGGGTTTCGTTTATATCGTACATCCAAGTCCACCAAAATTTATAATTTACATTACAAACCGTGAATTTTTCGATTTTCTTTGGATCTATCTGTGGGTACTGTGCAGTGAGCTTTTCAATTTCTGCGTCTTCCTTTTTCCATGTGCTAGTACGCTCCGTAAATCGCTTGTCATTATCACGTGATATCTTATCTTTTCCGTTTTTGTCAAGTTTACGATTTTCAGTAGACGCACGTTTCTTGTTGACAATCATGTGCGCATCCATCTTGAAACCCATGCTCTGCTACATGATACCAGACTGAAATAACCGATCCTGGGAACATTTTCTCTCGCAAGGCGGCGCCTTTGTAAACGCCGCCACCGATCTTTTGAAGGTATGACCATAGTGAGCAGACAGTCGAAACCGATCCCATTACGGTACAGCCGCGTCCACATGCCCTATATATATATATATATATTTATATATATATATAGCTCTCATCATTATTATACTGTCTCTAGCTGATGTACATTACATAAAACAGTTATAATAATCTTTATTTACACCTCGTAGCTATTTTTCATTGGGTTATCATACCGTACACGAAAACGTCACGGCAAGAACACCAGGAACTCGATCATATACGTTGTTTCAGCATGGTTATTGTAAAATTACACCGTGTCATGTATAACCTACGATAAGGATGCTAGCTGTGTCAGTGGGTCACCCCGTCACTCTAACCACTGGCCAGTGTGCATTGTCGCTGGCAAACTCTGAACCTTTTGGGTCGCTCGTCATGTGTACACTAATACATATAGGTCAATACCGCTCACGGCGATGGGAAGTAATCAAAACATTTAAACGAATTGCATTAGCGTGCATTAATTAAAAGCAGGAAATAGAACCTGGGTCAGTCGGAAGCAGTTGCTGCTTTTAAGCACTGCGCGGCACGAGTTGGCAGAAGTTCCTTAGCAGAGGCCTGATAGCACAACCGAGCTCTAGCGTTCACGTGTTATTTTACATATATATCATATCGAGGCCGCGAGGAAAACATGAATTCATTTACAGTGTTTGCTATACTGGTGCATGCTGTTCTCGTAAGTTTAAGCTATAGTTCTAATTAAGACGTATCGTCAGAGAGATTTAATCATAACTAATGTTACAGCGTGATATGCATTGGTTTATAATTTAGGTGGAGACAGAAATGTTGTGGGAGAAAAATAGGGAGCGAGCGCAAGAGAAAGATAGAGAGAAGGGGAGTTAGAGAAAGAAAGAGAGAGAGAGAGAGAGAGAGAGAGAGAGAGAGAGAGAGAGAGAGAGAGAGAGTGAGAAAGAGAGAGCAAATTATAGTCTGATGAAATGTGGGAAAAGGATGAGAGAAAAAGAGATGACGACGGTATGTAGTATACGGACTCTATATGAACGTATGAAATTAATACGGCGTAATCATGCTGCTCTACCGTTTGTGTTACAGGTCGTCACCGTGTATGGTCAATACGGGGGCTATGACGACGACGGGAGCGGAGTGAGCAAATGGAATAAGAAAGGGGTAAACCCGTAAACTGGTTATGTTTGTGTATTGACCGTCGTGAATCCGTGCCACACGGCTATAGGTTATACACACATCGACGTCAACCCCACTAGCGGAAATCTGTAGGTTTATATTCGACCTTTTGTCTTTGCTTAGCATGGTGACGACTATTACCATTACAACCACAATCAGAAGCACAATTCATACGGAGCAAAAGCGGACTACGGTGGAAAGGGAGAAATTCATCTGAATGGAAAGAAGTCAAAGAACTGGGGCAAGGGAAAATTTCACTTCAGCAAAGGAAAAGGTATGCCATAGCGAGTGAGGTCGATCAACATATTCATCTATTAACGAAACCAACTTTACAAACGACCGTTATGAAATGCGCGCGCGTGTATGTGCGCGCATGTGCGTGTGTGCATGCGTGCGTGTGTGCGTGTTGCATATGAGCGCGCGCTCTTGCTCTCTGCTTTCTTAGAAGTTCGTGAAACATTTATACTTACTTTTTCAACATGTTATGTTTTCTTACAGGCACGTACAATTACGATAACTATCACAAGGATAAAGGAGGGCAAAAGAAATATTATGATAATGGCTATAAGGCACATTATGGCGGCAAAGGAAACTTTTATGGAAAGGGAGCGTACAATAGCTGGAATAAGCACGCCGACATGCACTACAATAAATACTTCCATTAAGTGTTTAAGCATAGCTCAAGATATCGTAGACCAGCGACCAGCTGCTTTTCTATAGAGTAAATAAGTCGAGCTCTAATATATATTTGTGATGGGAAAGAGGCAGATGTAATGGTAAACAATCGAGAATTAAATAGTAAGATAAAGCAGAGAATAAAGGGGTGTAGAGAGAGGATGAAAGAGAGATAGAGAGAGCGAAAACGAGAGAATAAGAGGGAGGGGGAGAGCGAGAGCAAGAAAGAGGAGAAGGAGAGGTTGTGAGAAACTTGTCATTATTGGTCGTGTTAATAAGTATAACTATAACGTCAACGTAACTATGCTAAAACTAGTTGAATATCATTATTGTACGTCATCATCGTGTCAAAATCTTTGTCGTAAGAGACCATTGTAATGCAATTCATTCAATGTTGTGCTCAACTTTCTTTGTTATTGTTATACAAATAAACGTTGCAATCGTAAAAATACATATATCTGTTTGCTTGATTAACCTACGTAATCTATAACAACGTTAAAACATCAACGTTATGTGTCGCTTTAGACATTTAGCGCTTCTTTTCAAATTCTATATACACTATAGCAGTAACATCATCACAGCTTCTTTACTATACAAAGAATATGCGATACGTGGCATTTGATCCCACAATGAAGAGATTCTTTATGCTTCTCATTATTCGAAGTTTACCTCGATGTACATTATAAAAAAATATAAAACGGAAAAAATGTTACAGACCTAGATAAATATGTGGGTTTACATAAATATTCCAAGTCCATTCTTGGCCGTTCCATATTCATTTCCTTCTTGGCACTGAACGCGGACGACGTTAGCGTTAGACTAATATTGAAAATATATAAGAAAAACCTGATTAATTACATTTTGATTCCGTCCCAGGGGAATTTCACATTTATACAAACAGAACATAGGGAATAAAATCAATATGTATTCAATATGCCCCCCCCCCCATTAAGACTCATTAGAGTCTTTGTTGGGTGTTGACACACATGGTGCACACGCACACGCGCACGCACACACACACATACACCCACACATACACATACACACACACACGCGCGCGCCCGCCGCACACACACACGCACACGCACACAAACGGACATGTCATGCATACGCACACGCACGCGCACACAGCCGCACCCGTACGAACACACACGCTTGCACATGCATACGCACACGCACGCGCACACAGCCGCACGCGCATATGCATACGTGCACGCACACGCACATGCACACGCTCACGCACATACACAAACACACGCGACTACAAACGCACACGAACACGCACGCGCGCACGCACGCGCGCACGCACGCACTTACACATACACACGCACGCACGCACACGTGCGCACACGCACACACACGTACGCATACACACGCGAACATGCAGCTGTGACTCTATATATGCGTAACGTGATCCAATTTAAACATAGTACTACTCCTATACGTTAGCAGTAGGCGTCAAATGTGTTTTACACAGCACACTATATCAAGGGCGTCAACAGCTTCTTAAAAGTGGGGTGGGGGGGGGACATTTTGAGGGAGCAGAGCAACCGAGCGAGGGAGCGGAGCGACCGAGCGGGGGGAGGGGGGCAGAGGGGGGAGGGAGCGGAGCGACCGAGCGGGGGGAGGGGTGAAAGGTGATTTTTGCCCTCGTCCCACGGTAAAGACTTTTTATTTTTGGGTATTAAAAACAGGCGTTTTAATGCATTGTAGAGTAAAAATCAAGCAAAGTTTCTGAAGCTGCAAAATTAGTAGTTTATACAGAAAATACAGAAATTTACTTTAGATGCTCTGTTGTGTGATCTGAGGCAATTTCCAACGATTCTCATTTATTTTTTTAAAGCATACACCTTTTCAAGATTACTCTCATTTTTGAAAAAAAAACTTTTTTTTGTAAGATTTAGATAACAATAACTTTGTAATATGGAAAATTCTTACCTCAGAACTTGCCAAAAATCTGCCTACAACGGTCTTCTGATCTGATAAACTCCTCGGCAATTCTCTGTGGGCTCAATGCTGCTAGACGATCACGATGTACATGGCAAATTATGAGGTGGTTAAGGCGTTGCTGTGTCATCGTGCTACGTAACCAGGTTTTCAGTCGCCTTAGTGCGCTGAATGACCGCTCAGCTGTGCACGAACTTGCCGGGGAGACAAGCAGAAGACTGATCAACCGTTTGGAATTTCAGATTATCGTACAAGGTGGTTACAAATTATCGTCTGGGGGTGGAAATAATATTTCCCATGCGGCTGAACAGTCAACTAAGCTTAAAACACGCAGAAACAAGAAGAAGGAAGTGCTTTTCAGTCATGGTTCTGATCCCAAAAAAGTGGGGGGACAAATGATATGATGTCCCCCACACTTTTGAAAGTGGGGGGACATGTCCCCCCTGTCCCCCGCCTGTTGACGTCATTGCACTATATACATGTAATGACTGCATATACTCACATACCAACAATAGGAGTTTATAAGGATACTTTCATCACTATTTGACAATACCGTGATTTATCACAGGATACCATTTTGTTGTTACGTTTTCGCAAGATAAAGGACCAAATAATTATATTAAGACATATACGGAAAACACCACTCTAACACAGATGTAACATACTTAGAAAAGCGGAATAGGGACTACTAACGAAGAATTTCCATGACTGATTAAAAATTTGCTTGACGCTGAATCTAATTAATGAATTTATAGATCATATATAAGCAAAGGAAATTCACCGCTACAACTCTATATGATTCTCTCTGTCGTCGCACTGTTATACCAGAGATGCAGAATAGAAGAACAGAGACAGAAAGACGAATAGATAAAAAAGAAAAGGTAAAGGTAAAGCAGAAGATAGAGAATGGAATCGTCTATTCTATATCTATGATTATTGGTGTTGTCATATTATTACACACATGCATAAAAACGCAGCGTATACGCTGCCTATTACATACGAAAAAGCATTGCGCAGGCAACGTGACAGCTATATCAATCAGTACGATCTAATCGCACACGGACATGCACGCACGCACGCACGCACGCCCGCCCGCCCACACGGACACACGCACGCATTATTTTCAATTTTTTTCGTGTTTTTACGAAACGAACTATACGGCAGAAAGAAATCCCCTATATAATAAATTTAGAAATACGCCATTAAAAATCACTGCTTTCAACCAAGCAGCTGTTTCGTAACTGTAGGCCTACTGAGCGTGAGCGTTCTACGCGAATGAATTATTGTGAGCAATTAGATTAAATTACATTCAAACATCTAACAAATAGATGCAGCACAGTTTATGTCATCAGGTCAGGCGGGGCAACCTACACTGCAAACAACGCGTAATATAGAGCCCCGCATTGTTTTTCGGCAAAATTGTCAAACTATGGCAATATTTATGCATAGGATTAAGCCTGCATGGCCAGGTTCCGTAAAGAAATAGGTGAAAATAATCAACTAGCAAACATGGTTACCCACGTAGAATAAACATGAAATTTTCAGACCGTTAAACTCGGGTCACTTCAGATGTTTCTGGTGTTATATAAATGGCTGCACCGGTTTCACACTACTACCTTTATCTAGTTGCGCCTGACGCAGACACTGTCGCGCCCGCTGAGAGGGAAAAGCTTGCTAAAATATGAATATCGTAACGTCGCTTCTATCCGTATTGGTCACGCTCTTTGTAAGTATTACTTATTTTGTTGTGTCAGTCAAATGCCTTTGAGTTATAGCTTATGCGCATTTACGTGGTGATATGTACGGCCCGCTAAGGTAGATATGTGCCCGATGCGAAACTGGTTCGAATAAATGTTGAACGTGAGATGTCAGAGCAAAATTCCAAGGTTAATTTATCAGCTATTATTTATATAACCGACATTTAGCCTCGACAGCCTACGGTCACTTGAGCGGCTACATAATTATGCATAGCGAGTCGTTTCTCGTATAGTTGTCCTGCGTTATGAGTGAACACGCTCTTAATAAAAATTATATTAAAGAGGTAAATTACCTAAAAAAATTATGTCTGGTAATTATCTACACTTATATCAGTTGCTATACCGAAACATACTTACCAATTGAGTTTTATAAGTTAACAACAAGTGTTGTTATTGAGTTTGCCATGTATTGCTATAGGATATATATATATATATATATATATATATATATATATAGCCTGGATATAGTTTAGTTAATATGTGTTACTCTTTCAGGTGGCTGGCGTTTCGGCGCAATACGGAGGGTATGGAAAAGGTTACGGCAGAGGAAGGGGCAGAGATCACGGTGGCTACGGTGACGATGGTGGTGGAGTCGGCCGCTGGGATAAATATGGGGTATGCAGTACGACTTCTATAATCCATACAGATATCCGCTGCGCGTCACCAATATATAACCCGATTCATAAATTTCAGTAACGCTTGAAAGTAAAAAAAAAGAAAATCACGTAAAACATGTAAAATGAAATAGTTTTTAGTTCGATTTATAATCGAATGTTTCCTTTAATAGAGCGGCAACGATTACTACAAGTACTGGCACAAGCAATCCCACAATAACTATGGCGATAAAGTTGACAAGGGCGGACAAGGAATGATATACCTGAACGGAAAACAATCTAAGAACTGGGGCAAAGGCAAATTCTACTTCAGCAAGGGCGACGGTATGAATCTATTACACACGTGCGCACACACACGCGCGCGCGCTATATGTTAGTCGACTATATGAGTATTTATATATTCGTATTATTCTGTGTATTTTCTCAAGATATAATGTCGTCTTTGCTCTTCTGGCTAACAAAAAACTCGATTATTTATGCGCTGTCTTTCAACAGGCAAATACAAGTACGATAACTACCATAGCGACAAAGGAGGTGACAAGAAATACTGGGATAAGGGCTTCAAGGCCAATTACGGCGGCAAGGGTTCCTTCTACGGGAAGGGAAACTATAAGAGCAACAACAAGTACGGAAAATATCACAGCCAGAAGGAGAGTCACTAATATCGCCGATAATAGTTTTTTTGATAAAAGTGCTTCATAGACTAATAATAATAGCATGTTAATGGGGTGAAAATCTTTATTCGAATAGCATAATACGAGCCGTTTCGGTAATTACAAGTAGAAGCTTTGCTGATGTGAACGTGTGAATGTGGAGACGTAAATCTCATTCATCCATATGTTTGAATACCATATATGGTCTATTCGTCTGTATACGGGTGCCTGATAATGCTGCGCTGTATCATGTATGCATTTGTTCTTATACAACAGTTGAATGTTTACACAATAAATTATGTTAATTGTATTCATCTATTTTGTGATGGTCATTTTTTCCCATATGTGCCCTATCTTTTGTATTCTGCCATTTATTAATAATATGCGCCAAGTTTATAGTGTTCTTTCACACACACATACACACACACACACGCGCGCGCACACACACACACGCCGCACGTATGCACGCACGCACACGCACGCACGCACGCACGCACGCACACGCACGCACGCACGCACGCACACACACACACACACACACACATATATATATCCTTTCCGGGTCCTTTCCGTCCAACACTGATATTGATAACTTATAGCTTTATACAACCTGTAGCTTCTCCTGACAATAATTGTCTCGATATTTAAAAAAATGTTATTTATTAATTTATTAATTTAAAGACGGTACATTTGCAACAGATATGTCAACATGAGCTTGCAAGCTCCTCACCGTCAGTGCAGTAAAAGGATACAATTCTTAATTAAAAGTGCTAGTCTAACAACGTAACAAGCGACGGTACCAGGGCAGCTAAGCTAGGTACCCCTTACTAAAATTAATTCGCGGTCACTATGGTGTAACATTATACAATGGAGCATTGGACATAAAAAATAATATCAACTTATGAGGAACACTGACGTATTCGTACAGAAAACGCAGGTACTGAAATTTAACAGGAGAAAACAATAATCACGCAAGGATACTAAAATTATGAGTCGTGATAAAATTAGAGTTGATGATTCGTATCAGTCCATGTAGGTAACACCGTGTGTGTGTGGGTTGGTGGGGGGGGCATCAGCAGCACATCGCACATCCACATGGTGGACCTGACCACGATCTTAGAAGCGCCTTGAAGGTCTTGAGGTCTGTAGCCTGACGGATGTTGCGGGTAGGTTGAAAAAGTAGAAGTGCATGGTTGTATGTAGGAAAATAAGCCTCATGTCCGTTAGATACCCTATTGTACGGTATCATCACACGGCCACAAATAAATAACCATTAGTCGGTGACATACATAGTTAACTTATATCTATGATATACGTGCTCTGCTATAATCTATGGTACGATCGCCTGGTGCGGTAACTGGAAGATGACGCCACTGTCGCATATATCACTACATGTGTCTGGATACAAATGGCAACCGGGGTGAATCATCACTTGTAATGAACTAATTTCTCACCACATCCGTGTGTATGTTTGTAGTTTTCTCCGCAGCTGTTAACACTATAGGATAACTTGTTCTTTATGTAAGTTAGTGCTTTAAATGCGTGTACATTGAGTGTGTATATCGCGTGAAAAGTTTGCCTGGCTACGTTATATATCTGTGTTACATGTTGACCCACCCATGTTGGAGTGCCTGAATACCGTTGCCGACTATACATAACTTCATAACTGCATAAGTACGTAACAGATCAGTTTCCGATGCCTGATACTTTATCTTCCATTACTTACTTGAGTTACGTTTACTATGGTTATAGGTGTGTGGTAGGCAGTGCATATAACATTTTGTTGTGCGTTTAACTTTAAAGTTTAAGCGAATCTAGTGACTATCCCGAAATTTGCGTACCGGGTAGGCCCTATATTTGTTCTAAAATATTCCAAGTGTGACCTCGACCTAGCCAACTTGAGGACCCGGTATTTTGGTGATGGGCCTAAGAGTAAGTTGGGTTGATGATACTTTATGTACCAGGGTCATAAACTGGGCCTGAGCCTTGCCCAATGTGCATTATTTTTAATACCGTACTTTTTGTGCTAGGTCTATGCACATGTCATTATTTCGGTTCAAGGATAGAGAACATGGGTCCCAATAAAACCAATGTCATTTACATCAATATAAATATAATATTATATCAATATAATAGGTTAGGGTTATGGTTAGGGTTATTGTTAGGGTTAGGGTTAGGGTTAGGGTTAGAATTAGGGTTAGGGTTAGGGTTAGGCACATTGGTTTTATTGGGACCCATGTTCTCTATCCTTGGGCCGTTAGGGCCAGGGTTAGAATTAGGGTTAGGGTTAGGCACATTGGTTTTATTGGGACCCATGTTCTCTATCCTTGGGCCATTATTTCTATAGGAGTGTTTCACGTGACGTCATAGATCACGTCACGTGTATTTGTTATGTGTCATGGTTGGCAGAAGCGAAGCGTGCTGCTTTATATTTACAGATGAATGACCACATGTTCTGATAGAAAGTGCTGTTTATGTAGTGCACGTACACGTGCGTGCTGCGTGCGTGCGTGCATGCGTGCGTGTGTGCGTGTGTGCGTGTGAACCTACACGTTCGTACGTTCGTGTGCACGTACACGTGCGTGCGTGTGCACGTACACGTGCGTGCGTGTGCACGTACACGTGCGTGCATGCGTGCGTGTGTGCGTGCGTGTGCACGTACACGTGCGGGCATGCATGCATGCGTGCGTGTGCAGGTACACGTGTGTGCATGAGTGCGTTGGTGCGTACGTGCGTGTGTGTACAGACCTGTACACGTGCGTGTGTGCATGCATGTGCACGTAGACGTGCGTGCGTTCGCATGTACACCTGCGTGCGTGCGTGCGTGTGTGTGTGCGTGTGTGCGTGTGCACGTATACGTGCGTGCGTGCGTGTGTACGTACACATGCGTGCGTGCGTGCATGTGCACTGACACGTGCGTACATGCGTGCGTGCGTGCGTGTGTACCTACACGTGCATGCATGCGTGCGTGTGCACGTACACATGCGTGCGTGCGTGCATGTGTGCGCGCGTGTGCAGGTACACGTTTGTGCGTGCGTGCGTGCATGTGCACGTACACGTGCGTTCGTGCGTGTGTGTGCACGTACATGTGCGTGCGTGCGTGCGTGTGCACGTACACGTGCGTGCATGAGTGTGTGCGTGCGTGTGCACATATGCGTGCGTGCATGCGTTCGTGTGTGCGTGTGTGAGCGCATGTGCATGTGCACGTAGACGTGCGTGCGTGCGTGCGTGCGTGTGCACGTACACGTGCGTGCGTGCTTGCGTGTGCACGTACACGTGCGTGCATGAGTGTGTGTGTGCGTGTACACGTGCGTGCGTGCAAGTGTACGTACACGTGCGTGCGTGCGTGTGAACTTACACGTGCGTACATGCGTGCGTGCGTCCGTGTGTGTGCACGTACACGTGCGTGCGTGCGTGCGTGTGTGCGCGTGTGTGCAGGTACACGTGCGTGCGTGTGTGCGTGTGCAGGTACACGTGTGTGCGTACGTGCGTGTGTGTGCAGGTACACGTGCATGCATGTGCATGTAGACGTGCGTGCGTGCGTGCGCACGTACACGTGCGAGCATGAGTGTGTGCATGAGTGTGTGCGTGCGTGCGTGCATGCGTGTGTACGTACACGTGTGTGCGTGCATGCGTGTGCTTGTATCGAACAATATCACGCATTTGCTTGCTGCCAACAGTTAAACTGCGCATGTGCGCATATGACGTCAATGTTTATCAACATGAAACACTCCTATACATTGTCATTAGGAAAGTTTATATTTTTACCTAGTTATTCAGCACATGTTATTTACACCATCTATGGTCGATACTAGTCGGGAACATGCCAAGCTCGCAGTTGTTTAATATTGTTGTCTCGTTGCCCGGCGTAGAGACTACAATGCACACCCAAACATATAGGCCTATAAGTATAAGCTGCCCCACCCATGTACATTTAAAGCTGCATGTTGTTATGTGATATTGGTGAATCACAAAGATCAAATAGAACTTAATTTTGTCTTTAGAGCCAGATTCGTTGTACACATTCTCTGTACGTATCAACTCATTTGTTACATATATTCCGCATTATTTAGAATCAAACACTGCTCTCTAATACTGTTACTGTTCATACAGCCAAGGTGTTTATGCTAATATGTTTATATGGCATGTGAGTATCTGCGTGAAACATGACTTACAACAATCTGTAAATGTATTTTAAATATTTTTGTCAGTTAAAGCCGCACAATGTGCATCCAAACGCTAATTTCTCCAGTACTAGACTAGCAAATACTTTGTGGCATGCATAATCACACTACCTTATGACAAAATAAACTCTAATTCCTCCCATTTCACTGCGTGTTTGCTTAAAACCCACAAGAAAGAGGTGAGAAAACTGGCATTCTGGCGCCAACGCTGACTTGTTTGCCAAACAATTTAGCCTCGAAGTTGTTAGGTGACATCACATGTTTTTATCTTTGCTACACTCGTACCGCTGTACCGCAGCACTGCTGCACGGTTGCTTGGGAGAGCAACACGAAACTGTCAACAACATCGGAGAATTTGAACAACATTGGAGGTATTTTCAAATGCCTTATATAAGACAACGTGCAGTGAAATGGGAGGAACTAGAGTTTATTTTGTCATAAGGTAGTGTGATTATGCATGCCACGAAGTATTTGCTAGTCTAGTACTGGAGAAATTAGCGTTTGGATGCGCATTGTGCGGCTTTAAATGATTAACCAGTTTATGGTTGAAGGTTGTGAAAAAGTGGTGCCATGTTTGCATCGTTGTGCAATAGACATTCTGTGTAAATGATACTAAATACTGTTTCACAAAATAATTGTTTTACATCACAAAAACGGAAACAAAACAAACAATTACGCAAGACTGGCTCTCGTCAGTTGAAGTGCGTGCGAGGTACTTTCCCCCAACAATGTTTGTATTTATAGTGTGAATGAGTTCGTTTTGCATGTGCATTTAAAAGATTAATTTCTACGTATTAGCTACTGATTATAGGCCTACAGGATTCATATAATTGAAATTACATGAAGCTGGCATATTCCAGTTAACCTCACATTAATGTTGAATACCTAACTGAGAGAAGGGAAACCGAGTCATAGAGTTCGTTGGGCGGGGGGAGGGGGGTTGTTATTTGGAGTCGGTTAAGGTTATTAGTTTGGGGTCCCATATTTGTAACAGGGCAACTGAGGCATGTCTGTTAATTGTAGTTTCTTAATTTACCAGTAAGTAGATTACTGGAGTTGGAATTGAATTGAAACAGAAATTACCGATTAATGAATTAGTTGAAATTGGTTAATGCATACTAGGGTAGAATCTAATTAAAATTGTGTGGCAAAATGTAATCAATCAGCCCTGTGTCATATATAATAAATTCAACATTTTCAGGCCCAAAACATCCAAAGGGGGAGACAGCAGGATAACAGTAATGTCGTCGCAAGGACGACCTATCAAGTGTGTTGTCGTTGGTGATGGAACCGTTGGTAAAACATGCATGCTGATTTCCTACACAACCGACAGCTTTCCAGCCGAATATGTGCCGACAGTGTAAGTTGCTTTTATGTTTAAACAAGCAGCACTGGTAATAATGGGTGCTCTGTAAAAGTGACTGCACATAAATCTTCTCCTTAAAGATGTAATCACATATCATTGTTCCTATGAGCACATTGTTATGCGGGATGGTATCACGGATCCTAGAACTTTTTTTACACCATCAGATCAAGTGGGTGGCTGCCACCTATATTACCCAAGTTAAACACACTTAGAAAGGTTCAAAACAATGGTCTACAATACGTCAATTTTGGTGTGTGTGTGTGTGTGTGCGTGCGTGCGTGCGTGCGTGCGTGCGTGCGTGTACTTTGATTGCTTTAAATATGTTGTGGTTTGAATCTTATATAGGATAATGTGAAATACGTGCGGTTTTCAGATTTGATAACTACTCAGCAGCGATGATGTGTGATGGTATCCCTGTAAGCTTGGGATTGTGGGATACTGCAGGGCAGGAAGACTATGATCGGTTACGGCCGCTATCTTATCCACAAGTAAGTTTTTATCAAATGTGGTTTAGACACACTCTCGTGCATGCACACCCAGAGAGCGAGAGAGAGACAGAGAGAGAAAGAGCTCGTTTAATTAGATAATGCCTCCATGTGTACATTCAACATGATTATTAATTGTAGATGATTGGAGCAAAATTTGAAAATTTTACAAGGTAGGGAATTATATCTGGATTGATTAAACATGTTTGATAAAATTAGGTACCAAATATATTCAGTTAGTGTTTAGTCACCTGCCAATTGTTCACTAGTCATTATATAATTTTAGTAATTACTCTGAATCTGTTTCAGACGGACGTTTTCCTTATATGCTTTAGTATAGTTAGTCCTTCATCTTTTGAAAACGTGACGACAAAATGGTATCCTGAGATCAAACACCATTGTCCAGAAGCACCGATTATATTAGTAGGTAAGTTGTGCAGTTACTGATGGTGTAGGTAATGTCATGTTTTTGTGTTCTGCTAAATCACTTTACGTTTACTTGTTTGACGTGTTAAATGTATAGGGCCAGTACTAAGAGCGAGCAGAATCACTCATTTCCCCCACCCTCCACCATAGAGAAGGAAAAATGGCAACACTGTGCTGTCAATAGTTTTAGTAAGATCTTTTATCAAAGAAATAAAGAGAAGCAAAGGGCTAAAATATATTTAGTTAATAAACTGGTAAATATTCAGAGGTATTGTAAGCAAATAGAGTGAGAAAATCTCAATACAAAACTAGACCATTGGCAATTGCATATCTGTCACCAAAACAGGTTACACGGCAATGAAGACGGTGAAGCAATATTTTAACACATTTATTTTCATCAGAAAAATCAGGATAAATTTTTTTCATCATGTGACTGATAACTATGAACGAATTGAAATGATTAGGTGGTACCAAGCAGTAGTGCTGTCCCGATGATCGATTATAATCGAAATTCGATCGATTATAGTCTCAAATTCGATAATCGATTATGAAAACAAATAATCGATTATCGGAAATACCAGAACAAACAAACAAGGAACTGTACTCACGATGTGTGAATTGATATGACAAGTAGAGCACAAGTCCTGCAGGGGCCCGTTGTCAGAAACATCGTAAAGTTAATGCTAATGTTAATGCTACGATAACACTTACGACTAATGTTAATGCTACGATAACACTTACGACTAATGTTAATGCTACGAGAGTAGCGTTGACAGAAACACATCGTAGCTACGACACTTACTTACTATAATAAAGAACAAGTCTTGTTCATGTTTGTTTAAAATTTTTAATGTTTTAATAAAGGCATTTAAACCATTTCTTTTTAAATTGATTAAATACGGTATAGGAACAGACATTGATATACATACAGCAACCTTCACAGAGTTAATACATGATCATAAAACATGATAATATTGAATGCTATGTATAATTGTATATACAAAGTAAGATTAAATTAAATCTATGCTATTATTAACCGATTATCCGATTATAATCGATTATCGATCGGTTACGGGAAACCGATAATCGATTATGAAATTCCAGCCGATTCCCATCACTACCAAGCAGATACAAACAAGCAAACTAACAAAGAAACTTTTAAGCTTAGAATTGCTTGTTGACTCTAGGCAGATATGACTCACTCTTGCAGCACTCTTGAATTGACACTCAGAAGTCGTGTGCATGTATCTTGTCCAGAGGAGTGTGAGTGTATACAGATCATGGGCTGGTGGTTGATGTCACTCGTGTGTGTGTGTGTGTGTGTGCGTGCGTGCGTGCGTGCGTGCGTGCGTGCGTGCGTGCGTGCGTGTGTTCGTGTGTGTGTTTGTGTGTGTGAGAGAGAGAGAGAGCCTACACAGTGCAGGGCTGCTGGGTGTACTGTGTGTGAGTTTACAATTCACAGAGCCATTGCTGGTGGGTGAAGTGTGTGGGGTAACAGAGCAGCATTTGGTGTACGGGCATGAGATCTGCTTGCTAGCACATCTGGTTGGTAGTGTCATTGGCAAAACACAAGCCGTGTTTGTTTACGATAAACGATTTTGACTGAATGGACCGTGTGTTGTGAAGTTGAGCACGACAGGCTGTACTATATAGGCGTTGATCCTAGTGATGCGAAGAAATTTATGTGTAGAGTATACGTAATTATAATAGGAGAAATTTTATTTGATTTATTTTTTGACTAGCTTAAATCGCAAAATTGAGGAAAAGAAACCGCTTATCTAGGCTTTGAGGTTTTCTACATTTTCTCTTGAGAAATGTTTTGTGTTCAAGTATTCTGTGCTTTTAAATTATCGTTTATCCATGCGTGCAATCTAATAACTTGCAGTAGCTATAGCACAGACATGCCAGTAGTGACTCTAGGATAGACTGGTTCTGATGCGATGCATAGCACAAAGTGTGCACATATGTTGTATATGTTGGATCAGTCTATCCAAGACTGGCAGTTAATCGGCAGTGCAACTATAAGAAAGGTTTTCTTCTATATTCTTTACTGAATTCTGTGACTTTCAGGGCTACAACTGATCAAAAACCGTCACCACAGACAGTGCACATTGCAAATCTCATTATTGGCTGCTGCATTCTCTTCTCTGCTTTTAGCTTCAAGATTGTATGTTGTCAAATAGTGGCTCCAAATAAACTTAAAGTAAACTACCACAATTTATATTTAATATATCACATATATCAGCATCCAGCTAGAGCTGTAGAAACTGCACAGTA